AATGTGGTACTTCTATTTTTCTCTATTATAAATATAACTTGTGAGCCATACCCAGCAGTCGGCCAACAGGTGAGAGACCCGCGGGCATGCTGCACCAACACCCTTGGACTCTGTAACCTCTACAACCCACTCCACCCCCCAAATTCACCAACCCCATCATTCTTCCCTTGGCCAACCATCCATCACAGCATCAGCAGCACTTATACAAGTACCACCTACTCCAGTTGGAAGAACAGGAACAAGTACCACCTACACTAGTAGGAAGAACAGGGGACCCTATAGGCACCAGGACCACCTACGCCAGCTGGAAGAACATTCTCCATTGGCACAGCACAACCCACACCAGTAGGAAGAACAGACTCCATAGGCACAAGTAAAGTCCATATGAGCCAGAAGAACTGGAGGATACATTGCATTTAGCCACCCAATCCAACGCAAACCTTAGCTGAGGCAACCATACTGCACCTGTGTTGTCTATAACATGTTGAGAAACTATTAAATAATCTTTAAAGTTTTTCCTTTTGGTGAAAAACAGTGTATTTCCCTTTACTCAATACAAAGATGTTATTAATCACAAGTAGAAGCTAGTTTTTCAAGTTTTAATTGAAGCAGATACTTCCTAGAGAGTTGAGATGAGCCAGGTTATTCACATATTACCTCCAGGGCAATGGGGAAATGTGTTTACATTGGTCACTACATCATTCCCAGTTCTTATAGTGTCTCACCAAGGTTGGTATCTAGAAAGTAATCATTGAACCAATGATCCACTGAATGAATAAATTAATGAGTATTAATTCATTTATTCTCTGTCAGTATCAATTAAAACTAATGGCAAACATTCATATTTAGACAGGCAGAGCAAAAATAAGGAAAATTCAAATTGCTATCCTTTACCTCCTTAACATCAGGGTACCAATTGAGGCAACTGGTCAAACTAGAAGAACATTGCATGTCAAAGTACATTTTTGTGTTTGTACTGTTGGTGTTCTAGAAAAGCTAGAGGACTCTTTCATTCAGAAATTGGATAAATGAAATGTAGGACTTGCTGGGGAAAGTAAAGGGATGATAAGTGGAGCAAAAGAGGATATTGGAGGAGGCTAGCAAAAACGTATTCTATACATGTGTGCAAAAGGTACAATGGAACCAATCACATATAACTAATATATTCAAATGAAAATTAAAGTAAAAAAATGAAGCAAAAATATCAAATAAAGAGGTTTGATACTTTTGTTAAAACTGTGTGAATGAGGGGGTATTAAATGTTATTCTTTGTTCAGTAAAGAAGATATTCTGCCTCTCAATTCTAAAATGTTAATAAAAGCCATCCAATGTTCTATACCAGCATCTGACCTTCATTCATTTAGTATCAGGCAGAATGTATAGAAGTGTAGTCCTTTTCTTCTCCTCTGTCTGTTGACCAATGAGATTCAGAGAGAAGCCATGTAAGCTACTTACTTTTCTCCCTTGTACTATATGTATAGAGAGGTTTGCCTTACTCATCCATCTTTATGAATATATTCCCAGTGATACCAGCTAAACTTTGTTCTTGATTACAGGTTGGATGGGGATGATAGCCACCAGAGACCACCACCAACATATTGCACACAATCTACGAAACTCACAAAAAGTGAGAGTAATAGTATCAGAGAGAAGGATAAAAAAAAAAATAGAGATGAACAGAATCAAAACCAGATTTAAGATTGCATATTTGAAAAGATAGCTACAGAGGATGGTGAAAAATATGTTTTCATTGCAAAACACTAGAAATAAGACATTAGACATATCAAAATTAGGATTTGTCCCAGAATGAACTATACAAATACAGCCTCCACATTATATAGTGATTCTCTATCCAGAGAAAAGTCCCTTCCTGGGTTGCTAGGTAGGGAATGCCCAGGCTTAGAAAAGGTGCAGAGTAAGGTACCAAAATATTGACTTCAAGAAGGAAACATTTTTCCAATACCTCAAAATATCTTCTGGGAAACTTCATATGAGACTCAATGGTAAACAACATACTTCTTTTTTGTTGTTTGTTTTGTTTTTTTCTAGACAAGGTTTCTCTGTGTAACAGTCATAGCTGTCCTGGAAATCACTCTGTAGATCAGACTGGCTTCAAACTCACAGAGATCTCCCTGCCTCTGCCTCCCAAGTGCTGAGATTAAAGGTGTGCACACCACCACCAGGCCAACGACATACTTCTAATCTCAGAGGTTCTTTAGTATCATACCCGAAATTAAAGTCACACTCACACACTACTAGTTTTTCTATCTGATTCTCTAGACCCTTCTTCCACAAAATGGGGATAAGATATTTATATAGTAGTCTTAAGGATTGAGCTAATCTATAGAATAAGCATTTAGTGTAACAAAGGAAAAAGGCAAATTGTACTGAAGGCAAAAGTGGAGGAGGAGATACTGGTATCCTCCTACTAAGGAATAAAGACAATTGTGTTATATAGATACAGTGTAATACTAACCACGAAAGGGTTGGGAATCCCAACATTTGTAACAACAATTCTAAAACTAGAGATGACTAGATTAACTGAAGTAAGTTGGGCACAGAAGGACAGTACCAAATGATCTCACATGTGGAATGCAAAAGTTTGTCTCATAGAAGTTGAGAGCAGAACTCACCGTGCAGGGGATGAGGAAAGGGGACAATCCTGCATAACTGCATGAATTCCCATTTATATAGGATGAATAACTTGTGATACAGTTATTTTACAGTTAATTTACTATAATTAACCAAATATTGAAATAACTAAAAGAGGATTTTGAATGCTCTCACCACAAACAAATTATAAGAGTGTGAGGAGAAAGAATACTTTAACCTAATATAAATATTGCAAAATGTACACAAGCATTAATACCCAAATGATATGCACAATTTTATGCTTTTCTATCTATCAATTAAAATAAATTTAAATTTAATAATCTAAATCTTAAACATTATTCTGGCAGAGCTTAGAAAACCTTTTGTTCTCAATGTATTGGTCCATTTGGAGAAGGGAGTGAGGGATAGAGATAGCCAAGGAGTAAGTGGCCAGAGATGTTGAAAGACATAAGGGAAGGGGAAGAAGGAAGTTAGCAGAAGATACGAGGATGATATAGAGTGAATTACTATACAAAGAGCCTACTGATCTTGATTTTACCTCCAGCTGCTAACTCTGGGGTAAGTCAACTCCCTGTTTGCTCCTATAAAATTGAAGTGAATTCTTTGTTACTTTTGGGGGCACATGGTTGGTCTGTACCAATGGTCCATCTTACAGAAATGTCCATAATCATCAAGACTGAATCACTGTAGAAAAGCATAGTAATTAGGAAAATGGTCTTCCAAGTTATAGTGCCTTGAGCACAGAGCTCTATAAGTTTAGAAGTATTTCGTTTCTCTACACTCCTGTTTTCCTCTTCATTAAATAAAGTACTCACCACACAGAGTTATACTGATATTTAGATAACATAAGGTAAAGAACAGGCTTATTATAGGGAATGGCATATAAAAATTACGTAAGATCTATGAAGGAAGCTTATGATAGCATGAAAGTTCCCATTAAATTATTTAGTCTGCTTGAAGGAATAAATGTTATTTGTAATAATATTGTCTCTGCTAAGAAAAAAGAAAGAGTGGAAGTCATAGTTGAGTATATGCTCTTGGTATCTGTTGGGGAATATCTCCAGGTGTGAAAACGAACAGGTTTCCAAATGTAGAATTTACTAGCAGCTAAATGTTCAGGTATAGGATTTCATAGGAAGAATAGGGTCACATAATCCTATAGAAACCACCAAATTTGATTCTTATGTAATTTGGTCCAATAATGCCCACATTACCTGTGAAAAATGTACTTGATTGCCTGTAGCTATCATATAGAAATCTGTATAAAGTGGCAACTGCTATGGTCAAGAAAATGTTTTGGGCCAGGTGGTGGTGGTCACACCTTTAATCCTAGCATTTGGAAGGCAGAGGCAGGCAGATCTCTGTGAGTTTGAGGTCAACCTGGTCTACAGAGCTATTGCAACAGTTGGGGCTATACAGAGAAACACTGTTTCTAAAAACCAAAAGAAAAAAAGTAAAGAAAAGAAAGAAACAAAGAAACAGGGAGGAAGGGAAGGAGGGAGAAAAAGAAGGAATTTCATAGTTGTGTAATTATTCTCTACTTCCTTATTATGCCTGCCCTTTGTGCATATAGTCTAGGTCTAGTACACCTGAAGGCCTAATTCTACCTATTGCTTTTTTCCTGTGTTCTAATGGAAGTAGGAGTAAACTAGCTTCAGAAATGCAGTCAAGTATCAAGAGGGGCTGTATTACTTATTCTAACATCTCTTTTCTTGTCTATCTCCTTCATATGCTCTTCTATAGGTCTTCCTGCCTTCATTCTTGCTGGGTTCCAATGACTGCTCTTTAGGAGTAATAAGTAACAGCTTCCTCTCCTGTTGGTTCCCTCAATATTGCCTCTACCTCAGTAAACATACTCTTCATCTAATGTCCTTCCATTAAACCTCTGAGCATAGCTTATGTCCAGTGAATCGTAATTCTGACTGTTCAGACGAGCAGCACACAGCCCTCTTGTCAGTTCTGCCTCCACTGTAGTAGCTCACACTCTACATCATGCTAACAGTGCTCATCCTTCATAGCTGCTACTACTGATGATGATGGACCTTTCTTCTTCATGGTACATAATAGCTCTATGTCAATCAACTAATTTGTTTTATGTTTTATTGAAATCTTTACCCTTCTTCTTTGCTGGGGTGGAAATTTTATTTTTTAGCAGTTGGGGAAATTGGGATAGCTTCTGACATCTGCTGATGGAAATCCACAGAAATCAGTGACATACAGGACTCACACCTCTAAGTTGTTTTGTTGTAAATCTGTTGATTTGTCTCAGCAGACTGTTTAATACCAAAAACCGGTAATAAAATGTCCATTCCTAAGGCTGCTATTAAGGTTTTTTTTTTTTTTTTTTTTTTTTTAAAAAAAGTTTACTTGACACCATGCTGAATTACCTTGTACCATACAACATCAGGTTCCTGATCAGACTTCTTAAAGTCATCCATGTCTGGGCAGGAGATCTCCTTTCTTTTAGTAACTTCAGATTTCTCTAAGTAGCGGATTCTGCTATTGTAGCAGAGGCCTGATTCATTCTCAGCAACAGTCAAGGACATTGACACCTTCATGCAGTATGTGGAGTTTCTGTGGAAACAGAGAAATAAGAAAATAGCTTTATTGGCTGTTTACAACATTTACAATCTCTATATTTCAAGAGTATTGACTTTTCCATTTAGGGCATTGCCTAAAAATGAGAAACAAGATCAAACCAATACATAGCAACTTTCTTCTTTAACCAACAGAATGGTGTAGAGTAAAAATGGTGATGGAAACATTCCTAATTATGAGATAGCTACAGAGCTATGAGGGTAAGATGTAGCAATCCCCGAATGCTAACTTCACTCCTGGCAATCAATGTTGCTTCCTTGAAACTTTGAAAAGGAAAGCTATGGGAATGTTGCCAGAACTGTGGTCACAGCCATTTCTGCTCTTCAGCTATCTTTTGACAGTTCTCCCAGTGATTGTTGAACTTAACATTGTTTTCTACCCCCAACATTTTGTTCTCTAAAATACATATAGAAACCAAGATTGACATGCAAAGGATACTTGCTAATATATGTAGCATTTCTTTCACTTCCATTTTTATTGTCATAAATAAGATTGTAGTGAATATGCTTTTATACACAACTTTACACCTTCTACCCCAAGGGTAGAATCACTAAGTTAACAGAAATATATATTTCTAGTCGAGTTTGAGATAATTATTACTCATCACAATACAAATTGTTTTTCATTGCCCAAGAATAGGGCTGAATTCAATCAGTGATGACCACGGTTGTCTGAAGTAACAATACAGACTCCTATATTTGGAGGTCTCAGCAGAAAGGTTTAAAGGTTGATGATAATTCTCAATTTGACAGGATTTAGAATCTCCTAGGAGGACTAACCCTGAACATGATTCAGTACAGGACCTCATTCTATGAATTGGTGCTACCTACATTTAGGGTAAGTCTTCCTACTACAAGAAGTTCATTCTAAAAAACATATATAAGTGTTTAAAGTGCTTCTTGAAATGTGCTAGTGGTTGGGCATCCCATCCCTAGACAAAGCTCTATAGTTGAATAATGACTACTAAGAAAAGAAGAAATAGTTTTTCCCAGGGATGAGGCCCTAATTGGTTACCCAAAACAAAAGGGTACAGCCCTGAAACAATATGCACACAAACAATGAAGTAGATCCAGTAGGTTGTATTTATATATTTGTGCATATATATGAATGTAATGATAATAATCAAAGTAAAAGAAACTATCAGTTTGAGAGTGACAGAGGAAATGGGAGAGATTGTAGGGAAGAGATATAGGAGGGGCTTGAGGGAGGAAAGAGGAAAGCGATAAAATTACATTAAAGTCTATTTAGAATCAATTCAAATAAAAATAAAAGAAGATAAATAATAAATAATGAAAATATTACTTGTAAATAAATAATAAACAAAAAGAAAGCATCCTATTAAAATGTGTCTAAATTAATTCTTCCTACCAACACTATTCCTCTAAAACATTGAAATTTGTCACCTGGCCACTTTAGAAATCATGTGAATTGATAGAGTTATTATGTGAAGATATCTAGGGATGGAAATTTTGCTTTCTTGAAAGTTGTGTACTACATAATTGATTTTCAATAATGTGAGTTCGGCAAGCATGTCTGGGACTGGTGAGGTGGTTCAGTGGTTAAAGTGTTTACAACACAACCATAAATATCACAATTTGGATTATAAGAATACACATAAGTGCCCAATGGGACATGAAATTTCAGCCTTAGAAAATAGAGATTGGATTGAGATGGCTAGAAAGCCTAGTCATGTGGATGAGTTCCGGGGTTGACTGAAAGACCACACTTCACTGAATAAGTTAGAAGAGTGAACAAGGGTAAGTCCTGATATCGACCTCACATCTCCACATATATGTGCTTCATGCATACCCACATAAATACACATACACATGCAAAAATATTTAAGCACCCAAAAGCACACCCACATACACAGAGAAGCATACACACATGAAAATAGAAACACAGAAATAAAAAATATATTTGATGAATTTGATTAATTTTAAACAAATAAATAAAATTTTATCTTTGTTTCTTTGTATGCATGATGTTTCACTACACAGACCAGAAAATGTCAATCACACAATGGAAAAAGGCAATGTATAAGAGGAGAGATCAGAAGCATCTTGACAAGAATGAGAAGGCCAACTGTAAATCTCAGTAGGAGTGTTTAATCTTTCTTTCTGGAGAATATTTCAGGACCACTTCTAAATTAATATTAACTCACTGCTAGAAATACAAAGTGTCAAGAGTACCCCTACAAAGCAAAGTAGTTGTACAATCTTATATCAGATGGAATTAGCATGCCTATCACTCATTTGAAGAGGGCCCCAAATGGTTGGTACAATGCATACTCTTTAGTGGTCATTCATTGAAATTTTACAACATTCCAAGGCTGTGCACATTAGGTTTACAAAAAAGTCATCAAAAGGATTCCTAATCAGTGAAGATAATTACAAACAAAATACTCATAAACTGGGACTGGGCAAGTTTCATCTAAGAAAATAAAGTAGAGAAGCTCCTGATATTCAGGTACAACACCAGTATATTCTATATGATACTGCTTTCCGTTGTTTCTAATGTTGGTTTCCAGAACCCAAACAACATAAATTAGATCTCCTCAGGTACAAGAGGAACAAATAATTGGAGCTGGAGAGATGGCTCATTTAAGTACACTTGCTGCTCTCACAGAGGACCAGGGTTTGATTCTCAGGACCTACATGGTGGCTAATAACCATCTATAACTTAAGGTTATCCAACCCCCTCTTCTGGTCTCCACAGGTACCAAGGCATGTATGTGGTGCACATATATGCATTCAAGTAAACTACTCATACACATAAAATAAAATTAATTAATCAAAAATTATTTGAAAGAAATAAATTCGGCAAATGTTAGACACCTTTTTTAATGTCATAAAGGTAACTAAAGTCATTATTTAAAGTCTCATGGAAGAAAAGTAAGTACTGGTTCAATCACTGTAGCTTTTCATGAACATGTTTATAACAATTCAATGTTAAATGTTTTCCTAAGTCTCTTGGCTTTCTATAAGGCCATATATATCCAGCCTATTATAACAATCTCTTCTCCATTCATCAAGATGCATCCACAGTGAAATTTTCACTGTTTTGTGGACACACTAAGCTTAATCAAACCATAGGAAGAGATTAAGTAAGCATACATGCTCCATGGTATTAACACATACAGGTAGAAGAGCCTTAGCCACTTACTTACTTAATCTCTTCCCATTATTACCTTAATGAAAAGAGAACTACAGACTAGAATTCTCAATCATAGAAACAATAGGTAGAATATGTTAATCCTATCAAATAAATTCACTATCTAAAATGCACTTAGCACTGAGTAGAAAATAAGGTTAAAGAAAGACAAATCAAGGATAGTGGTTTCTTTATAATGCACCAACTTTAAAAGAAGCTCCAGTAGATTCAGCTACTTCTGTGACACATATAAAACTGTCTCACAAAAACCACAATGTCAAGCATGGAAAACTTCTCTTCAAGTTGTTGATCAATGTCCAGACAATCTGGCTACTACCCTTGTCCTTGGTTGCCTCCAAGAACTTAAGGTAAGTTTCTACTATGGAAGAGATCACACACTTAAACACAGGAATAGAGCTGAAGCTCACCTAGAAACCTCCTTCACGAGAACTTATTTTCATAGAATCTAAGGGTGTTATGCAAAGTGCCAAGAAAGAAAAGCAATTGATTGTACCACCCAGCTGTAAAACCTATGAACTACAACAATGATAAACATGACAAGATATACCCAATGGTACAATAGTAAACTTACATTTGGGGGTAACCAACAGCTGTCTAATTGGACTCACAGTCAACTCAATAGGAAGGAGTTCATGCCTGGTGCTGTAAACCCAGCCAAGTACCCAAGGTTGGATAAGTCATGGATCCTAAAGGAGAACCTACTACTGCTACTTTCCTAAAGCAGTATAATTTATATGTGAATTTTAAATACTTATCCTTATACCCAGAGATAAATGTAGCTCTCACCTCTCTTCAAAGAAGTTTCTTTGTGAAGGAGACAGAGACCATCAAGTAAAGTCAAAATACAGAGCTCAACTGACTGTGGGTTGCTCAACTCCAAGTGATACGTCAACAACACAAACCCTAACCTAAGGTTCAGGGAACATTCTGGAAGAAGGAACAGGAAGATTTTAAGTGACAGAGGACAAGAACGTCTGCTAGGAGATAGTGCCTTCTTTATTTGATGGGAAAGCTATATCCACAAAAATCTCAAAAATATGGTCACCTATATGATACTCATCAAATAATGACACCAGTTGATATGTTAACTTGTATAAGGGAAATCTCTTAAGTCTCTATCTCTAGATGCAGAGCTATAGACAATTAAGGGCTGCTGAGGGAAAGAGATTCAGTCTTCTCCAGGGATGAAGTCCCTCATAGATTATCAAATCCCAAATGGTCAGGAGAGACAAAGAGAGACAGAGAGAGGCAGAGAGAGACAGAGACAGACAGACAGACAGACAGACAGACAGACAGACAGAGACAGAGACCAAGAGACAGAAATAATGATTAAAGAAGAATTCATGAACTTGAGAGTGAGTAGGAATGAGGGGAATATATGGGTAGAGTTAAGAGAAGAGGATGAGGGCTGAAAATAATGTAAATATAGTTTGCATGTATTAAATTCTCAAAAGATTTTTAAAGTAAATTTTAAAATTTGGTTTACATTTTTAAGTAGAAATGTGATAAGGCATGTCCTTTCCAGATAATCATGTTAAAAAAAAAATATCTAAAATACTCAGTGTAGTGTTTGTTACCTACTAGGTATTCAATAAATTATAACTATAAAACCAGAATTTTTAGTATATCTTGCATTGTTATCTATATCACCAATAAATAATAGTATATATTTATATAACAATCACTACTATATTTACAAACAACACATTGATTACACCAGGATAAGATAGGCCACAAGGTTAGGACTGCCGCTTCGTTGGGGATTTAGTTCAGTGGTAAGGCGCTTGCTTGTCTAGCAAGCA